TGGACAAACTAATTATGGTTATGCTAATTCAACTATGGAACGTATTTGTGAACAAAGACAAAAAGATGGTTTGCCAGGTATTACAGAACAACAAAAAGAGAAATTTATTTCATCGACTAATAATCTTGTTATTTTTTTTTAGCTTTGGCAATTCAATGGGGTGCTATTGGAGATGTCGGCATGGTTATTGAAAATTTAGGTTCAAATGATACAGTTGTTGGCGGTACATTACCACAACGAATGACATCTTGTCTAGAAACTATAGATTATTTTCTTCAACAATCTACAAATATACCTGTCGTTTCATCTTATGTTCTTGCTGAAAAATTACAAAGAACATCAGGATCAACAACATCAATTAGTCTAATTGAAACAATTGCAAATATTCTTGGCATATCAGATGCAAATACAATGTCTTCAGATAGTACATTAGCCGATCTTGGATTGGATTCATTGGGTAGTGTGGAAATAAAACAATTACTTGAACAAAAATACTCAATATCATTAGCTAATTCAAAAGAAATTCAACAATTAACTATAAAACGTTTGAAAGAAATCGATTCAGGTTCATCAGTATCAACAACAACGACAAAAACTAATACAGAAACTAAAAAATCATCGTCAACATCATCATTTGATCTTAGTCAATTATTACCAAAAGATTTAATAGTTTTATTGAATGAAAAAGTTAAATCAAATAAATATCAACATTTATTTCTTATTCATCCTATTGAAGGTCATGTAGAGATGTTAAGAGAACTTTCACAACGTTTACCAATTACTGTATTTGGACTGCAATCAACCAATGATGTACCTAATACATCTATTGAAGATATTGCTGCATATTATATCAAAGTAGATATTAAAAGTCTCTTTTGATAAACTTCTCTATTTTTCTTTTAGAAAATTATTGAAACACAACCAACTGGTCCATATTTAATTGGTGGTTATTCGTTCGGTGCTTGTATTGCCGTTGAAATTGCTCGGCAACTTCCATCAACTGCACAACTTTTATTACTTGATGGTAGTCATTCATATGTTGCCACTCATACAAAACAATATAGAACAAAATTTAATGAACCTCAACATGCTGAAGCTGCAGTGGTATGTCATTTTTACTTTTTAGTTTATTTTATTGAATTCTACGATTGATTTGTTTTCATAGCTTTATGCCTTTCTACAACAATTCATTCCAAATTTAGATCAGAAGAAAGTAAGATTAAATTTTAATAAAATGATTTCATTTTCATGTTTTCTTTTTTCTTTATTATAGATGTTGTCAGATTTAGCAAATCTTCCATCATATGATGCACGTTTATTATTTGCAGCTGAAATTCTTGATAAAACAACTAATTTTGGCATAGATAATATCATTTTAATTGCAAAACGATTTCATAATAAATTATTATTGGCGGAAAAATATATTCCATCAAGTAAAATACAATGTCAAACAATATTATTTCGTGTACAAACTAGTAGTGAATATAGTGAAACAATTGGAGATGATTATGGACTATCGACAGTAAGAAATTTGGGTTGTTTTTTTTGTGAAAGAAAAATCGAATAATTTATTTATTATTCTAGGTATGTCAAGGTCCACTTCAAGTTTTAGTCATTCCAGGTGATCACCGAACATTTTTGCAAGGTGAAAATGTAAAAATTTTAGCTGATCAGATTACAACTGTTACTTGTAACAATTCTTAACGAATGTGCAATGATTTATTTCTAATGATGTACAATGAACAAAAACCATATGATACGTGTTATTGTTGTTCTATTTACGTTTTCAATTTTTCTCATTGTGATATATAATCTCTTATTGTATTCAAAACGTCTTACAAAATAATTTAAACAGAAAAAATATAACAAAAAAAATCATATTTCTTAATTCTCATATAACAGATTGAAAGTGTTTGAGTGCTTTTTAAAAACAATTTTCGTAGTTTCGAAAAAGTTGTCAAATGGAAACAATGACAAATCTAGAATTTGGTAACGTGACACACGTTAGAAGAAGAGAAAACATTTTGAAGTACATTAAAGGTAGTTTTTGACTCATTTTTGAGTTTTTTCTGTTGAGAAAAATCGAAAGACATGTTTACAAGAGGTGTGGGAGGAGGCAATCTTTCTTCGTCTATTCTTCTAAATCCATCATCACATGAAAAAGAAAAAAGTAATAGTAGGAATTAAGAAATTAATCAAGAACAAAATCTGAAAATGACCTTTGTACTTGAAAATTTTTAAAATTCCAGCATCTATTTTCATGCCACTGCGAGGGCAGTTGAAATCTTCAGTAAGTATTTTCGACTATAAGTAGCACTCGTCGTTGCAATTCGTTTGATCCTCGACTGAATATTCAAACTTCTCTGCATAATACACTACTTTATAAGCCTCATCAATACTAAAATCATATGTATGCATGAGCGTGAGTACTGTATGGTCCTTTTCTTCCCTTATTCAAACAATCACACTCATACCCCACACACACCCCGCCACACTCACACACCTCGATTGATACGCAGTGAATTTATCTTATTGACACAAGAATAAAGGAATACTCATTCTCTTATTATTATGTTCATTTTAATCTAAAATGAGTATGTTTAACTCGCACTTTAGTATCATTTTAGTTTTTTTTTACTACAGCGATGCACGACAATAATTATAAGATATTAAAAACTTTTGTTATTGAATGTTGGGATGTGGGTGTGGTTGTGGTTGTGGATGAGTCTTCTCTTACGTAAGACACAACCACACTCACACTAGCATGATATTCTGATGTTTTCATTACATTTCTAATGCAAGCAGATGATAGAAAAGTGGAGAAGTTCGTCTGATAAAGCAAAGTATGTATGTTTACTGCATGTGTTTCTTTTTTCTTGGTCACTTTGAACTTGTCTTGCATACACAAGTATGGGTTTTCTAAAAAAAGCATTCATATGCCCTTGCATCGGACGATAATATGAAGTTTGTCAATGCGGATGTAGTCGTCTTGCTGTCTACTGTGTTCCGCCACAGACGGTGACATATGTTTTGATACACGATTGGCGATCATGGGTCACTAGCATCTCATCAGAATATATGAACTACTTCCTTCTTGAAGTTCTACAGGATTAAGTAAAAGATGATAAAGAAATGGATGTTAAGATAGATTGAATAAAATAATATTCTCGTGATTAGTAACAATAGCTCCATCTTTTTTCACATTTTAATCCCGCAGGGATTGCATTAACACTTTTTTTGGACTGTTTCACAAATGTACTCTTCAACTTTCCAATATTTGAATATATTAGGCCAAATAGAATAAATAAGCAAAAATAGAACCAGTAGTGAATTTAAGTGGAATAACGAGTGTTGTGACAAAAAACTATCATTGTGAGTATTGGTTTAATGGAAGAAATAGTCAATTGATTTTGCAGGAACACTTGATTAGATCACAACAAGAGACAATGTATTAAGGTGACGTTACTTAGATTTTTGTACGTGTATATGTATCAAGATTTTTCGGCATCGGGCAATTAGTATCGTTTCAAAAAACCCATGGGCAATTACTTTTGAATTAGCGGGCAATTGCCCAATGGCCGTACTCCTGGCTACGCCATTGATTCAACGAGTATGTTACAGTTTTACAAGCATTGACCTTCTACTTTCAATGTTTGTTGGTTTCTTTCCTTTTTCGACGGTACACATAGAGGAGAAAAAATAGTTACAATAATTTGATGTTTCATATTGACCCTCAAAGACAGAAAATATTGATTGATTCGATAAAAGCTTCATGTGAGATTATTTACTTCCATCAAAGAGGTGGGATTACTGAGTGTGCGCCAGTAATGGGTATGAATTCAAAAAGAAAAACATGCACACTCTTTCAAAATATTTCTTTCTGAGCCACTGCTTGTAATTCATTCTCTGTCCATGAGTAAGTGTCTCTTTGCTTGGAAATTTTCAACAAGATCAATGAAAGAAAAGAAAAAAATGTACTTGCTACCCCGTATGAATTGGTTACCGTTAAAGAAAAATTGTATTTCGAGAAAGGAAAAGCATATAAGAATTAGTAAAGAAAAAATGACATAACTAACAACAAGATTAGCTTTTCTATGTAATGGGAAACAAAAGTAGATTGTTGTATTTAGTTTGCTAAAATTACATTGAATCATTTTTTTCTCATACGATAGGTTCGCAATATAACGCGTTTGTTGATCAACAGGATATTGAAGAGCAGGCTACCATCGAACATTTTCATGTTATATGGGTCAATGAGACACCCCAGTTCACTCTACTCCAAGATCCACAGTATTCCGAACAAGTTTTGGCTTTGGAAGGATACAATATTCGCTTTTTCGAAGATTCCTTCGAATGTGCTGACTATCTTTACAAGTTACCCACAAGTGCCAAAATAATACTTATGGCGCAAGAGCAATATGCAGAAGAAATAATTAATTTTACACACTGTCTTTGTCCAATCAAAATAATCTTCGTTGTTCATCTCGTAGCAACAATAATTGATGATCGAAATGACGTATCTCCTGCATATGTAAAAGTGAGTTGTCATTTTTATGATCGGCAATATAAGCGAATGATTTGTGCAGGTCAGGCATGTCAATCTAGATCAAGTAGCCGAACGAATTCGTTTATTCGAAGCTCGTTTCCTGCGTAGTACCAAGGAATTCTTTTGCATCGATATTTTCAAAGGAAATCAAACATTGGAACGTTCTTCAACCGAAATCAACGGACAGTTTCTGTTCACTCAATTGCTTCTCGATATTCTCCTTCGAATGGAGCCAAAATTGAACGATAAAGATGAATTGATCGCTCGATGTACAGAATGTTTTGCCAAAAATGATACAGAATTGAAGAAAGTGGAAAAGTTTCATTTAGAATACAAAGCGGAGAAAGTCTTCGAATGGTACACGAAAGATGCATTTGTTTATCGCCTACTGAATAAAGCTCTTCGCACTCAAAATATTGATTTGCTCTTTCTCTTTCGGTTCATTTTACAAGATATGCATAGTCAACTCGAATTTTATCAAGAACAGTCGCCCGTGCTTCTTTATCGCGGTCAACAACTTTCGAAAGACGAATGGGAGCAATTGTCTGAAGCAAAAAATCATTACATTTCAATGAGTTCCTTTCTTTCAACTAGTCTTCAACGAAGCGTTGCCGAGCTTCACATTAATGAAAATAATCGTGATGACGAAATAAACGTATTATTTGAAATAATCGCTGATCCGAAGCTTCCTGGTGGTGTGCAACCATTTGCTGATGTATCAAGGTTTAGTCAGTTTCCAGAAGAAAAGGAAGTACTCTTTATGGCTGGAAGTATTTTTCATATTACGGATGTGATTAGTGGAGGCTCATTCTCAATAGTAAAAATGGAACTTTGTAGTAAAGAAATGAACGATTTGAAACCACTCTTTGAAACATTACGCAATGAATACGGTGGTGAACAGGCGGGCAAAGAGCAGGAAGCAAGTTTGAACTCATTTGCCATTGTGCTGTTTAACATGTATAGATATGACATAGCAGACCGATTTTTTCGTCGAATCTATTATGAAAGTTCTAACAATGACCCAAATCGTGTACGCTACTGTTTGAATATTGGCAATGTTGCTTTACATACAGGTCATTATGAAGAATGTGCTGACTGGTATGATCGAGCACTAAAACTGTGCGAAAGTCATAGCTTCATCGACCACCCAATTGAGGCAAACATTCATCTGGTTCGAGGAAATTTATATGCAAAGCAGCATAGACGAAAACAAGCCATTACTTCATACAATAAAGCTTTGACGATCTATCGGAAAAACTTTGGCGAAAATCATTCGAGAATAGCTACGTGCTACTCAAACATGGCTGGTCTTTTTGAACGACAAAAGTACTATGGAACATCGCTTGAATATCATGAGACAGCGCTAAATGTAGCTAATCATACGCTACCAGCAACACATCCGGATTTGGTATTTTATAATCTAAATCTCGCAAAGCTATTGCTTGAACTTCGACATCGAGAGCTACAACGAGCACTCACTCATACAGAGAAAGCATGCGAAATTGCACAAAAGATTATGCCCACCGAACATCCAAAATTTCTCGACATTTATGAAACGATGGGGAAAATCTACGAATTAATGCAAGACTTCGAACGTTCAACGTTATGGTATAATAAAGTTGATGCACTTGGCGGCTGGCAGATGGCTGACGTTCATATTCAGCGAAAATGGAACAAAAGAAAAGAGTTTACTTGCATTCGATGTCACCGACGTACATGGATTTATCGCTCTTTTGAATGGATGAAAGATACCAGACTCAACTGTCTTATATTTCATGATTTTGGTTTTTTTCTTCTGGATATTGAACGATATTGTTGTCACTACTAAGCTAATTCCAACATTTTATCTTTAAGAATTTTTACTGAATTTTGTATACAATATAATGGTGGTTATTTCTATTCTCTTTATTCGATGACTAAGCTGAAAAGAAATAGCTACTCATAATTCGAAATTGAGAGTGAGCAAGCCATCATGATTTTCTTATTTGGGCATGTTTACCAACAACATCTAGTAGAGTACTATTAAATACTAAACTCGTCAGTTCCAAATTGAATTTGAAAATTTGAGAGTCAGAAGTGATTAGTAAAGACAATAATTATAAAGTGTTCGAAAATAGAAGGTGCAACTTTTAGAGAAATGATGATAGAAGCTCGTAATCCATAAAAAAGAACAAACAATGTTTTTCATATTTAACAACACTCGATAATTATGCATATCGTCAACACAGATCACAGTGTCATCAGTCACTAATAATCCATAGGGATAAAAAATTGATTTGGTAGATGTGACATAAGAGAAGATCAGTAACATTCGCGCCCATGCCGACATCTATACATCAAAATCTATTTTGAGAAAAATGGAACACAAACTTGAGCTTTCCAAATTCAGGATTTTCTTTTACATAGAGTGACTAAACAGAGCCCATTTAGTAGAGCATGCGATCAATATTTCCCATGTCAGAATCCTATAGACAAGATCAAAAAGCTTGAATAACTGATATTTACAAAACATATTCTGCTTGAGGGTGTGGGTTTCTATAACAATGTGACGTGCTATAGAAAAATGAAATATATTCTTTATTTTCTAGAAATAATTGCAACAATTCAATAATCTCTTTGACAACATTATCTTTGAAGTTATTTCAAAAATGCTTGAAATGAAAGTGAAAGGTAACTATTGCTGCTCTTACACGATTTAAATCAGAGATAGACTTCATCTTTTTATGTGATAGTATCGAACGACCGTATCTGACCAATAACAATTGAAACAGAGGAAGAAAGAATAGGTCAAATGACTCATTTGGATATAGTACATGTAAACTGACAGATGAGAATAGGTAAGATGACCAATTGCCATATAATCAGGGGTACAATGCTTAATTCGTCTGGAAAGAGTGTGGATGTATAAAACAGAGACTTGGATTGCTGCATCGAACGATTACGTATCATATTAAATAGGTCAGGTTATTTTCCTATTTTCTATCGTTTCTTTCAGAGGATGATGTACAACTCGTTCTAAGAAAAATGATGCGTTGTTTCGTTCGATATAAATCCATCTAATACTGAAACATTTCAATGTTTTCGATTTTTTCATAAGACAAATACTAGGCAATTTTATCATCGGTTGTATTTATAATATATTTTCAAATAATCTATCATTGTATTTTCCTTTATTGCAAACACAGCTAAATATATAGTCATAAGTAAAAGGTTCAAATAGTTGACCATCTTTTAGGCCAAGAATTGTACGGATGATTCAAATGATACATTAGACAATAATTCATAATTTCAATTCCACCACAAACACTTTCATCTGGTAATAGATCTTTTTTTTACTAAAAGTTTTTTACAAAATTTTTCTATTCATTGCTGAATTTTCTCTTCTAAACTTTATAATAAAATCTGTCATTTGGATGCTTCTTCCTAATTAAAGAAATACATTTCAAAATGTTACTCAGAATTTTCACTGTAAAACAATGTTTTCAAAAGCAAATTTAATGCTAAATATCAATGTACAAAACGCAAACAAATAATTTAGTTGCGTTCTATTCACACATCAAACTTGCTGGTAGTTAAAATATATTTTGAATCTTAATATGATTTGATTTGTTGTTACGATTCCAGTCTAAAAACAAGAAGAGAAACACTAACGATTGTCAAAAATCCTGGACACTTTTTTCTCCACCAACAAGCAATCTTGTGTAGTAGTATTTTAAGGACTTTTTACAACCGTAATTGTTCGTTACTCTTAATTAGAGATGTACCAATATTGTTGAGTTGTTGATAAAGATGAACTTGTTCTTCTTGCAAGAATTCTAGAGACTCTTACTATAAACAGTACAGACCGATTACACTGAGAAAGTTACAAAAATAAAAATTTCGACTGAGATTGACAGAAACTTGATGTTTTTCTGCTGTGATCGCTATGTTCGGCAAAAAAAGTTCATCTTTATCAGCCACGCATTTCTTTATTTTTCATCTAAAAAAAAGGTTTAATGATAGTCATAACTATTGTTTTCGTCACACCGTTCTTTTCACAATCACCAAGTCAAATCAGAGTTGGTTGCAAACTAAAAACCAAAGCCTCAGTTTTGCTACTACTTGACATGCTGAGAAGCAGTTGCATCAACATCTGTGTCATATATTATCCGGCTTCATAATAATTTTACAGATTGGTACAGAAATTTTCAAGCTAGTTGCAGATTATTTATTTTTATTCAATTCCAATTATCTATCGACCATACGAAATATTGTTTCACTTCATTCAACAGAATGTTTTACTGAATGTGATACATTACGCACATTACTTGATCAGCGTTTCGATGAAAGGCTTTCAGTTTCACAAAGAAAATGTTATTTGAATATTTCATTAGGATAACTTCAATAGTGTATACGTGAATATCAACAATGAACTAAACAATCACATGCTGTGCGCCGAATAGATCTCAACAAAGTTTATCTATTGATGTTTTAACTAGCTCGAAGAAAGTGAATTCGGATTTTATATTAAAAGAAGAAACAGTTTACGAAAAAACAGGAATAATTAAAAATTGATCTAACTGAAAATAGTAGAAAAGATCATTAAGTCTTATCTGTTAAACATCATGAGAAAATATCTAATGGCGCTTATGAGATACTTTTTCTAGTCCATGTGAAAACGACTTGTAAACGGGATAAAACCGGTAATCAGAACAAGGATTTTTTCCACTTGAATGTAAATGATCATCGAAACAAGAAGCTGTTTCCGAGTAGTTTACGGCCTTTTTCGGATCGTTCTTCTATTCCACCTGAGATATCATCGACATATAGTGACATCTTTCAGATACTATTTTCGATTAATCTCTCAAAAATAAGCAAATCCCATACCAGCAAATAAATACCCAATCAAAGAAATGAACTTCTTTCAACTTCAAATATGACAATCATTAGCATAGAATAATATAATAATACTAGTTGCTTCTTTTTCTGTTTCAAAAATGGACAATAATACAATGACATCAACAGTAGATACAGATTTATTTGTTGATAGTGAACCGATGAATGATGAAGAATTAACAAAATTACATGAGTCAACATTACAAATGTTCCGTTCAAATAAAATTGGACCAAAAAATGCATTTGACATTGTACTTATTGATTATTTACCTGCCATATTTGAAGGAACAAGTTTTGATGATGATAATATAAATAATTTTCAATCAGTTGGTACAACACTCGAAACATCAGGTGAAATTTAACAATAAAAAAAAAAACAAAAAAAAAGAATTTTTTATATTTTTATTGAATTTCTTTTTCTTTTAGCAAAAATATATGCTGCACGTATTGATTCACTTTATTCAGAAACTCGTAAAGCTCAATCAATACTTCGTTCAACAAATGAAAATATTTATCGAATACTTGATGATGAATATGATATTGAAGGTGATAATAATAATAATATAAATGAAGATAATTTTTCTGAAAAACGAATTTCAAATAATAAAAAAATTCGTTTATTAATGAAACGAAAAAAATCTATTGTTACTGATCGTAATAAATTACTTCGAAAAAATCGTAATGATGAATTTCGACCAATTATGATAAATCAATTTTTTTTATCAGCTATGAATAATGATAATATTTTATTAAGTGAACTTTATGATAAAATGAATATATCACCAACAATAAATGAAAATAAAAAAAGTATTAAACAAGAACAAAATGATATATTATCACCAAGTCTTCATTCTAATGATTTTGTTTGTGATTCATTATCTATTGACACAACAAACTCATCAATAATATCAAGTATGTTAAAAAGAAAAAGATGATATTTAGTTCTTTGAATTAAAGTTTTTCTTCAATCTATGTTGACAAATTTTGAATACATATCGTTTCACATTGAACGTCAGTAGCATTTCTAAACTTCTGTAAGTTGTAGGAAAATCTTTCTGCGTATAACTTAGAATTTTTCAAAAAAAATACCAGCTGAAAAATGATTTTCTTTAGAATTCAAGTATTTAGTTAGAAGTTATTCTACATTACATGGGATAATTGTTTTAATCATGCATGTTAATAAGCTTATTACAAAAATATACTTTATATATAGTGACTTTTAAAATTGAATATGCACCATTAAGAGTCGACTTTGTTTTCTTAAAATTTTAAGAGAGATTCATCGTATTGAAGTTAGAGCCCTGAGTCGGATTGACATCACTCAAACAATCAAGTATTGTCTCTTTTACATAATAAGAAGATTATGCTTCATATGTTAAGTAATGAACTAAACTACACTAATACTCCAGATCTTCTATTGTGTCCAACTTATTTCCATTATTTTTAATTAAAAGAGTCTTTTCAGAAAACCAAAACGATTTTCTGGACTTGACAAGATATTATTAGAGCTTTAAAAGTTCAGAAATCATGTTGGATTTTTAGTTCAAAACTTCGAGAATCAGGCATATTTTGATGTAAATATAATTGAAGTTCTCATTTTATTAAGAACTCAATTAATGAAGAGGTGCAGAGGGTGTTCTTTTCTTACGTTCAGCACATCGTTCCTTCAAGAAAGTCTTCTATTACGGAGAAAACAACAACAGAGAACTCGATATTCTGAACTGTCGGTGCTTATTTCTGATTTCATGAACAATAACAAACTCTTTAATGTGATGAGCGCACAGAGAAAGAGGATGGACTAGTTGTGGATATTTAAAAGAAAGAAAACAACAGTGATTGTTGTAACATCTCGTTGTTTCTATGTTAATATCTAATAACATCAAGACGTATCAACAAGTTGAATTAATAAATTATTGGAAAGAAGAAAAGTCACATTGTGTAGCCGATAGTCGA